CGCGCGTATCTAATTTGTGCAGGAGCCGTCGTAGCTGTCGTCGTTGTCGTCGTCGTCGTCGAGCCAGAAATTTCCCCTATCCTCATTCTCTCGAACCCTCTTTTGCCCGGCCGGGATCCCGTCCGATCCAAGATGACGCGCCCGCCGTTACTTTTTTTCATTATTTTCGCGTGTCTGCGTATCGGTGATAACGCGATGAGTTCTCGAGAGTTCTCTTATTGTGCGTTGCGTCGAAAGTATAAAAAAAAAAAAAGAAAGAAAAGAAAAACCTTTCTTTTTCTCTCTTTATTCATTCATTTATTTTGTTCGTTAGATCGTGCCTCGAAGGACGAGAATGAGATTCGTCAAATTTCATTTCTTCTTATGGAATATTTAATCGAATGATGGGGGGAAGGGGAGGGGGACAAACAAAAAAAGTTTTGAATCGAGGCATCCGTACGATGAAATCCGTAACCGATCCATAGCCGATTTCGCGGACGATAAACGAATCGATGTCTCGTTTTCTTCATCGAGTCGTGGCAAAATAAAAAAAAAAAAAAAAAAAAAAAAAAAAGAGAAGAAAACGTTCGCGGGAACGAGTGGATCGACGACGACGAGCGGATCGGCTCCTGGGTCTAGAGAACGCGTTCGCAAAATCGTCGCGACGTATACAACTTTTTTCTTTTTTTTTTTTTCTTTTTTTAATAACCGTAAATTTTAATTTTAACGACAATCATAATTTTTACGCACGTTTTACAATCATCCGTACGATAAATATTCATTTTTCACATCTAACGATAAATCTTTCGATAAAGGGGATATATCGGGAGAGTAATAGTAGTAATAGTAGTAGTAGTAGTAGTAGTAGTAGTAGTAGTAGTAGTAGTAGTACTCTTTTGTTACCCAGAGTGAACTGGATTTTGCAGGGGGTTGGAAACGGTGAAGAGGATTCGATTAAAGTATGGGTAAGGGTTAGGAGGGAGCAGGTGGGACAGAAGTAAAGTTGGGGGCAAGGCAAGAGGGACGAGGGGAAGGGGATAGATGGAGGAAAAGGAGGGAAAAGAGGGGAGGGGGAGGGGGACCTTAAAGGCGAAGGGGAAGAGAAACGAGGAAAAAGCAGGCGATAGATTGGGAAACGAGTGTCGAGAAAAATATCCTTCCCTTTCTTTTGGTGTAGTGCTTGGCAAATGTTTTAGAAAAAAAAAAAAAAAAAAAGGACCCCTTTTTTTTTTTTTTTTTTTTTGTTCCTTTCGAGGGATCGTGTAAGGTTAAGATCACACCGAACAATTTACACTTTGACGCGAAGCGGATAAGTCGGCTGGCTGTGTGATTAAAAAGGGGGGGGGGGGGGGTTGGTGTGTTGGTTGGAGTACAGGGATAGAAGGAAGGTTTTAATTTTACGTTTACACACAATCATGATTAGTGCTTTGCTTTTCGCTTGTGTTTTTCTGCTGTTCAGCTTCGTATATATATTTTTTTTGTTTTTTCTTTTTCTTCAGTTTCTTTAACCCTAAGGAGACCTTAACAGTTTACACTCAATAACTTGATTTTTTTTTTTTTTTCCTATTTTATTTTCCGACGCGCTTCTCTGCGTGGGTGCGTTTCACCCCTTTTAATTTTTTTATATTTTATTTTTCTCTTCCCTTCAAAGTTACTCCTTAATTCACGGTTTTTTTTTTTTTGCCTTTAAGTTTAGGGGGGGGGGGGCGGGGATAAATTTTTCGTTAAGTTTAGTTCCAAAAAACACCGAGAGAATAGCCTTGCTTACACGATTTACTTTTTTTTTTTTTTTTATTCCGTAAGGCAATAATTTTTTTTGCGTTTAAGTAAGGAATTTTTGCATTTTTTTTTTTTTTTTTTAAAACACCGAACATACATGCCTTATACTTTATGTACAGCCTAGAGTCTTTCAGTCGTTACTTTACTTAAAGAGAGTCGTATGAGATGAGTGCGTGAATTTATCCTTTCGTTTCCTCTGTCCTCGTCCTTTTTAGAATCAGAACTCTGTGAATAATGATCTCCTTCCTCGACACGCGAGAAAGACGGAAAATCATGGCCCGCGATCTACATTATATATCGACGCGTTGTGAACGCGTCACACTAAATTTCCTCGCGTATACGTCCCTACACGTCCCTACGCGTGTTCGTGTTGCTAAACGAGTCATTCTGCGAATTCGCTGCTTTCGTTCGATTTCGTCTTGGTCCAAACGTCCTGCTCGGCTAACTACAACTAGCGAAACGACGAAATCACCACTATTTTTCTTTTTTTTTTTTTTTCTCCTTCTTCTTCTTCTTCTTCTTCTTTTCCTTTCCTCCATTTATTCAACGTGTTCAATATCTATATAATATTATTAGTTCAAGGTTCTCCTGTCGAACGGAATTTCTAATATGAAATACGAGAAGATACCTCGAGTAGTCGCGCGCACGACGCTCATGGATTACTCTGTGAAAAAATTAGTGAAAAGAGGAGGGACTGGCGTTCTTCTCGTGTCGTGTCTCTCGTCGCGGCCGAAAAAACAATCGCGACGATTTCTCTTCCCTACTACTCGAACCTATCACGCGACTGATCCTTTAGCAAATTAACGCTCTAAACTCGTTCCCCTAAAGTCGTTCGTGTCTCTCGCTAACGTCCTCGTCCTCGTCCTGGTCCTCGTTATCGTTCGTCTCATCTTTCGTCGTTGTCGAAACGATCGATAAGAAGCTTTTAAAAAATCGTTTGATTTCCCCCAAAAAAAAAAAAAAAAAAAAAAAAAAAGAGTACCGGCGAACACGCTAATGTAGTAGAACACTCGAATTTCTTTTGAAAATTGAAACTTTCTAAATATTTTCCTAAAAGTGACGATGATGTGACGTCGATCATTTCGACGGTTGTTTTCGAATTCCATCTAATTTCGTCTCTAAATTTCGTTTTACAGTCGATGCTAAAAAATCGAAAGGATCGGTGGAATGGAAAAAATTCGCATTCGTCGCGATGCGAAATTCGTAGAGTTCGTAGAAAAATTCAGACGAGAAGAAATCCTATCGTTCGATCGTTCGAAACGTTTGCTTCCCCTTTTTTTTCTTTTTTTTCTTCTTTTTTTGATTTCTCTCCCCGATTTACGTCATTTACGTTTCTAACTAATCGACCACCACGCTTTTTTTTTCTTTTTTGATCGATTCAGAAGAAAAAGGGAAAGAACACCGATCCTTCTAGAAAAACGAGAGTGGAATGTTTTTCNTTTTTTTTTTTTTTTTCTTTTTTTCTTCTTCACAAGTGAAAAAATTCTACGAACACCGCCGTTACAGCTGCTTCTCTTCCTCTACGCGATAGAAAATTTGCATTTGTATCAAAATGTAGGCGTTGTCGCGCGTAAGAAAAATTTTTCCTTTCCCTCTTTTCTTTTTTTTTTTCCACACTTCTTTCTCGCATTTCGGCATAAAGAGCGACCGAGTGAAGAACAAGCCCGCGCCTATACACGTAGCGATATACTTTCCCTCCAAATCCCTTATATACATCTACGCGTTTCTCATTTTCTTCCTTTCTTTTTTTTTCTTTTCGTGTGTGTGTGTATGTATGTGTATGTGTGGATTCCTCGATCGGTCCATCGCGGTAACAGAACGATTTTCGCCGATGAAAATTCTCCTCTCCCCCCTTCTTTTTTCTTTCTTTCTTTCTTTCTTTCTTTCTTTCTTTCTTTCTTTCTGGAAATCGAAGAACTTGTTTCCAAGAAACAATCGTCCTCGAATCGATTCTAAACGACGCCTAATCGATGAAGATCGCCCTAATCACGTGACCTTTCCGATCAACTCTTTATCGTCTCCCTTTTTCACTTTTTCTCTTTTTCGAGCTACCAAAAGCTTGAGAGAGGGGGGGGGGGTTGAGGGGTAAACGCGTTTCTACCGAACGCCAGCCTCGAAATAATCGAGATTAGAGAAATATTGTCGCCTTGTGAAAAAACGTCATCTATACGCGCGCCAACAAAAGTCTTGGCTCGTTCTCGTTTCGCATACGTTCGTTAATGACCAAAAATATATGTATATATATATATATGTATATATAATATATCATTCCTTATATAATTATGTTGCTCCTTACGAGTTAAGTAATGTTAGTTAGTAGGTAATAAGTTTTTTTTTTTTTGCATTAGGTAGTTTTACATCGATAAAGGAAAAAAATACGTTGTTGTTGTTGTTGTTGTTGTTGTTGTTGCGTCGGCATTATTATTTTGTTAAATAATTTGTTCGTGTTCTCACCTCGACCGTCTTTTTCTTTTTTTTTTTTTTTGTTTTTTGTTTTCAAAAGTCCCGTGTCTGTCGCATCGGCCATACGTTCGATTCGCGCGCGATTTGTCTCGGCCGGATAAACAACCCTTGCAGAATTTTTTTATCGCGCGCTCCTGTGTCCTATCTCCTTTCCTTTTTTTTCTTCTTTTTCCTCTCTCTTTTTTTTTCTTTTTTTTCCCTCTCA